AGTAAGAGTAGTAGTAAGAGTAGTAGCAGTAATAATGATCATAGTTGTTTTTCGTAGTACTTGTTGCTTTTTCGCAGCTTCTCCTCGTGTTTTGAGGAACTGAACCTGACGACCGACCAGGTCCTCGAGTTCAAGCAGGCTGTACTAATACTACGAAAATGCTGTATTGCCCTATATAATGCGTAGTGTAGTATATGATATATAGTCGATAATGGCAATAAGATATTCATTTTGATGGTGGGGGGGAGGCGCGGGAGGAAGTTGTGTGTATTTGGTTGATGCTACTCCACCCATCTGAAGCATTTGAAGCCTTGCGTGCCATGCTGGCCGGAATCTAGCAGTAGGAGTAGGTGTCGGAAGCAGGAGCGGCAGTACATGGTAGCAGGAGCAGTAGCAGTAGCAGCAGCAGTCGTCGTAGTCGTAGCCGTAGTTGTAGACGTGGCCGTAGTTGTAGTCGTATTCGTGGTCCTAGTGCCAATCGTAGTTTTGTCATAGGGTTTGTCATAGTCGCAGCAGTCGTCGTCGTCGTCGCAGCAGTCGTCGTCGTCGTCGTCGTCGTCCTAGTCGCAATCGTAGTACCACTGTAGTAGCAGTGAGCAGTTGCACAAGCAATAGCACTAGCAGTGGTGGTGGTAGTTGTAGTTGTTATGGTGATTGATACATTGTTGTGGTTGATGTGGTTTGTGGTGGTGCTTGTCAGTCGCAGCTGCAGCAGCAGCCTCATCAGCAGCAGCAGCAGCAGCAGCCGCAGTCGTCGTTGTTCTTGTTGACTTGCTGTAATCCTGCAAGACCTCTGCATTGTCAGGTCTTCGACGAATACATGGAAGACCTTGACGGCGCTGCCGCCCCAGTGGACAGTATGCTATCCTGAAGTTTGCATCAGCTCCTGCTCAAGCTTTCTTCTCACCGAAATGACTGCTTGATCAATGCCAATGGCGCTTATGCCATCAGAAAGTTGTGCTTGAAGTCCAGGAGGGGGTGGCCGGCCCCCGCTAAACACCGAAAGTCAACAACAAGCAACCATGGATTGACTGTTGCTTTTGCAATGTGGTTCGAGCGTGTTCGAAGTCCAAAGCAAGTCGAGCTGCACCCACAGACTGGACTGCTAGACTGGCTGAGGTGAGGCATTTGCCGATATTCTGCCTAAACTAAATCCAAACTTTCAGCTGCAGAGCTCCCTCGCTATCCTCGTGAGAGTTAGTAGGGTCTAAGTCGAGGCGGTGCGCCATCAACTAAAGCCAAACAAGATCGCCGTCCTCGTACAGAGTAGTACTTAGTAGTCGCAGTGTGTCGCAGTAGTTAGTTGTAGTAGTGGTAGTGATGTAGCGTAGTAAGTAGTCGTGTAGGTGTAGTCGTCGTCGTAGTAGTAGCAGTAGCAGTAGCAGTAGCAGTAGCAGTACCAGTACCAGTAGCAGTAGCAGTAGCCAGTAGTAGTAGTAGTAGTAGTAGTAGTAGTAGTAGTAGTCGTAGTAGTAGGAGTAGTAGGANNGCAGCGGCAGCGGCAGCGGCAGTAGCAGTAGCAGTAGCAGTAGCAGTAGGAGTAGTAGCGGCAGCGGCGGCAGCAGTAGCAGTAGCAGTAGCAGTAGGAGTAGTAGTGGGAGTAGGAGTAGGAGTAGGAGTAGGAGTAGGAGTAGGAGTAGGAGTAGGAGTAGGAGCAGGAGTAGGAGTAGGAGTAGTAGTCGTCGTCGTCGTAGTCGTAGTCGTAGTGGTAGTGGCAGTGGTAGTAGTCGTGGTCGTAGTCGTAGTCGTAGTGGTAGTGGTAATGGTAGTGGTCGTGGTGGTAGTGGTAGTTGTAGTGGTAGTGGTAGTGGTAGGGGTAGGTGTAGAGGTAGTGGTAGTGGTCGTGGTCGTAGTGGTAGTCATAGTGGTAGTGGTAGGGGTAGGTGTAGTGGTAGTGGTAGTGATAGTGGTAGTGGTAGTGGTAGTGGTGGTTGTAGTGGTTGTAGTTGTAGTTGTACTCGTGGTTGTCGCTGTTGTTGCCGCTGGAGGTAAGCACATTTTGCCAGGTAACATCTCGATTCGACTGGACGTGAACCCAAGGTGCCGCAGAGGATAGTAGATGCGGAGTACGCGGTGAGAGGAGAGATCGTGCCTGATCCTTAGTGAGACATGCATGCTGCATAAAGGAGAGAGACGTTGAAATGAGTTCATGTGGAAGCGGGCATCTAAGGACGCGGTCATTCAAACTGGAAGAGCTCCTGGAACAAGGCAATCACTCCCTGCCCTTCGATGAGCTCGTGCCATGCAACATCGGAAACCCTCAGGCCTCCGACACTTGCAACCTTGAGGTGTCCCTGACTATGTGGCTCTGCATGGCTCTGCATGGCTCTGCATGGCTCTGCAGGCTGTTGGTGCGCGACCTCTGACCTTCCATCGCCAGGTGGCGAAATCGACTCAAGAGCAACGGCAATCTGTGGTAGCTACGAGTGGCTGCAAGTGTCGAGCGCTCCGGGAGTCTTTTCGTTGTGGTCAGGTACTCTCCCTGATGAGCAACCCGGCGCTGATGGAGGTCCGATCTTTGTAGTTGTACTAGTGTAGCAGTGCGTGAGATGTGACCATGTGCAGTCAATCGCGAAACACTGCGGACGTGCCATCTTGAGATACAAAGATCGGGCCCAGAAGGGTGTGCACTGGACTAGTTCACTTCCGCCCCTGTACATCCCCATACCAAGACCCGTCCGTGACGCCAACGGAATAATCTTCTTTGTAAGAACAGTTTGCTTATAATAGCAGGATGCAGCCTCGCTGTATCCGTCAGATGTGCTGGCAAGAGCCAAGGACGGACTGCACTGTGCATGCTGGAATGGCACGTTTCGACAGCTGACACGGAGCCTCGCACCTCGCCCTTTCTTCGCCAGGAGTATGTTGGTAAGAATCCGAAGTTCGGCGCGTACTCCCACTCCAAAGGCATCCTACACTTCAGGCTACCACGAAGCAAAGTCGATTGCAGCCTTCTTCAGGTTTGCGGCTTCGTGTTCAGATGTGTTCAGTGTGCAGGCGGGAGGTAGCGAAGTACATCAATCGTCGAGATGGGCCATCTGTGCCTCCAGCTGATCCGGAGGCCGTGTTTTGAGCCAGGTAGAGTGAGACTCTCAGAGCAAGAAGGTTTCGTCCGGAAGCTTCTGTGCAGGAGATTTATCTCACAGACGGAGCTTCTGCTGGTGTCAAAACGGTGCTGGAGGCAGGGGTCAGCATAGAAGGCAGACCCTCTCTTTCAGAAGATGATCTCAGACGTTTGAGGGACTGCCATTCAATGCAGTCGCTCGTCGACCCAGCTCCGGGGGGCGGCCCAGGTCATGATCGACGGCCCATTGGACGGTCTCCTGATTCCGATTCCGCAATACCCGCTGTATTCGGCCTGCAGCCAAGCAGCCAAGCCTTCGGCAAAGAGGGAGCTACCAGTACATAGTTTGTCTTCACCGGCCTTGGTGATCCCAGGCGTCCATCACCCGTCTCGGTGGCACGCACATCGGCTATGAGTTGGTGGAGGACGGCTCCCAGCTTCGGAGGCTAAGGCGGCTAAGGCTACCTCCTGTTGAGCAGGACTACGCCACCGGAAAAGGCCGCTGACCGGGGAGGGAAGAGCTGCACCGACGATCTGTGAGGGAGACGCACGATCATGCACTTACTGCGCTGGAATATGTGAGAGTTGTTCTAAACTTCCGGCTCTGGACCGGCGACTAACAACGCACTTTAACATGTTGAAACCAGCACTGCGCAAGCGCGCGCAAGGGGAAGCGCAAGCGCGGAAACAAGTATCTAGGAGTTGGGAATGTGTTTAACGCCGTGAGCGTCGCAAGGGGATTTTCGAACATGCAGCGCTCCCCTCCCCCCGGAACATCGCTAAAGGACCGCAGGACCCGAGGACTGCGATCCGCAAGCATGGCCTCCGAGGGTCTGACAGTCTGACAGACCTTAGAGACATGTTGCAAGGATTGGCTTCGTTTTGAAACGATGCTTGGGGAACTCACCGAAATATCGAAAAGGCGTAGCCGCGTAGCCAGCGTGTAGGGGAGCTTCGGAGCAGGGCTCTAACAGACTGACACAGGGCATGCAGAAGTTTCTTTCGGAGCGTCGTCTTCTTGAAGAAGCTGCCACAGATAATTTCGAATTTTCCATCAGGCTCATTAGCCTTTGTGCTAACGGCAAGCGCAAGCAAGCAGGTTGGGCGATTGATGTCGATCTGATCGAGGAGAAGATCAAGGCACCAGCCCTCAGGGAGGATTAGATCCTCCTGTGATGGCCCGGAAAAAATTATCCGTAGAGGCCTTCATTGCTGGTGGTGGCCGCCCCAAAGGTATAGCGGCTGCCCCATTGAAGCCCGTCGGCTGATGGACAGCATCGCTGCTGCAGTGAACTGAGGCTGTCATCAACCCGGGAAATCCCACCGGCAACGTTCTCAGCCGCGAGACCATCGAACGCATCGTGAGGCGCGTTCGCATGCGCAAGGTCTCGCAATGCTAGCCTCTGGATGGCGTGTGTTTTGCCGACTCAACGAGCTGCTAGCAGGCTCTGTGCAAAGTACAGAGCATCTTGGCAGCACTGTTCCGGACTTCTGACAACTGCGCAAATTTGCCGCTTGCTCGAACCACGAACTGTTTACGCCCAAGATGGTCATCCTTGCGGACGAAGTCTACCAGGCTGACTAGTATTTGGAGTGACTTAGGCGAGCTGATGATGCGTGTAGCTCGCCGTATGAAGAGGAAAATATCTGGCACTTGGACAAGGAGTTCGTTTCTTTCAGGCACCTCTCATCTTACCTTTGGTTAGTAGGGAATGGAGGAATGGGAACTATTATAAGTACCATTACCACCATTCTTCCATTCCCTACTAACCAAAGGTAGGTCATGCATGCATGGGCCCAGGGTTTAGGGTTTAGGGATGAGCATCCCAGTGGCCTCGGAAGCCTCCGAGGGCTGCTGTTTCCCCTTGGTGCTGTCGAGGGCGAGACTCCAAAACCTGAAGCGCCTGCAGCTGTGTGCTGTATAATATACTATAATATGATATAATATACTATAATATAATATGATATAGTATAGTGTAATATAATATAGTATAGTATAATAATATATATAGTATATTATATCTGACCATGTGCCAGGCAAGTCGTGCTCCTGTCTGGCCTGCCGGTGGAGTTGTTTTCGTTGCCTGGCCCGTGGCTGTCACAGTGTCACTTTCCATCGGGATGACTTCAGATAGGACAGGATGGCCACAGGATGCCAGGTGTAGGAGCCAACTGCAGAACACAAGAAGTGCTTCGCAACGAGAACCTGCAGATGTTTTTTGCAGTGCATGACGGGCGGTACGACATAGTGCGACTCCACGAGGGCAGGGGTTCGTGCACATGGAACACCGGGTTTTTGAGGAATCCGTGCAGTAGTAGTCGTAGCAGTGGCAGATGGCAGGTAGCGGACAGCAGATGATAGATAGTCGTGGACATGAGTAGATAGTAGGAGCAGAGTTTGGAAGTAGAAGCAGAAGAAGGAGGAAGGAGGAGGAGGAGGAGTGTAGGAGTGGCAGTAGAAGTAGGAGTAGGATTAGTAGGAGGCAGTGGTAGTGGTAGTGATGGTGTTGCTTGCGGTAGTGGTGGAGATTGTCGTCGTGGTCTTGCTGTTGGTCGTGGCTTAGCCGACTAGGGATGATGAGTAGGAGCATACCCAGGTTCCACTCGATGTCCAAGGGCTACTATGGTGAATGCGGTCTGCGAGGACAGCCCGTCACGTTTGACGCCTGGCTGGACGAAGGTTAACTTCGGGATTAGCCTAGTTACGGTCACGGTCTGGTGCAGGAGGAGTGCTGCAGATGACGAACATTGATCCAGATGTGGCCGACCAAATCTACAAGCTGTTTTCGATGATACTGTGTGCGAACACGCTCGGACAGGTAGGATCGTGGGTTGAAGACAGCCTTCGTCAACCGATTGCATGCATCTGACGAGGGGGCCATGGCTTCTATCCTGAATCCGCCGGTAGAGGGAGATGCGTCCTTCGCCCTTTTCTCCAAGGAGGGTTCACATGTTGACCGGGTTCCTAAACCCTAAACCCTAAACATCCCTAAACCCTAAACCCCCAAACCCTAAACCCGTTGAAGTACACCGGCTTTGCAAAAGGAGCGCAGCGAGATCCTGGCCAGCCTCAGCAAGAAGGCGCAGCCCTCAGGGAGCGCTTTTGAGAGAGCATCGTTCCCCCCTTCTACTCGACTAACTGCCGTACGACATGATACTAGGCAGAACTTAACCTTAGTTTACTATACTATATTCTGCCGTTTATATAATATACTATATGCAATATATGATATAGAATATATATATATATATATGCACACGTTATATACTATATACTAGGTACTAGATACTATACATATATAGCATAACCTATTCTATAGTATTCTATCCTAGACTATAGAGTACGATACTATACCCAAAAGCTGCGCAGCCATCGACTGTTTCAAGGCAGAGCTTGTGTCCCAAGCCCTCAACGAGATCCCGGGCATCCAATCACTGCCTGTGGAAGGCGCCATGTACGCCTTCCCCCAGGCCAGGCCATGGTCAGGGCATGTCATGGCCAGTCTATCTAGTATGTATCTGTACGTATGTTCGTGTATGTATGTATGGATGGATGTATGGATGGATGGATATGTGCATGATTATGCATGCATGTATACAAGTATGAGGGGTTTAGAGCTTGGCTCACGGATGTGAGGTTTACTTGCCTTGCGTCATGACCCGACCTTCGGATGTGAGGTTTACTTGCCCGAGCGCTTCGTCAAAGAATCAGAGGCCTTGGGAAAAGTCATGGCCTAGGCACACTCGCATGAGGGGTGGTTTGTATGATGAGGGCCGTGCCAAGGCCGCAGACATGCTTTACTGCATAAAGATGTTGGAAGCCAATGCCTGAGAGAGGGACTTCGAAGCTCCCAGCGCTGTGCTCCCAGTTGCAGTGTGTTGGTCTGATTGGACCATGACATGAGGCGACAGGCGTCATTGTCGTGCCCGGAAGTGGCTTCGGCCAAAGGCCGCAGCTTTTCATCGGACTCTCCCTTCGCAGCTCAGCTGCAACTGCTCCACAGGAACGGCACCTGGCACTACCGCATCACAATCCTGCCAGAGGAGGGCAAGCTGAGGCGAGTGCTCGTGAGCTTCTCAGTATGGTAGGGCCTGAGCACAGGGTAGCGTTCCTCCAGTCTTGGGGGCACACACGGGCGCATGACGAGGATCGGATGAAGACTTTCCACACTCAGTTCTTGAAAGAGCACCATCCTTTCGGTATTCGGTATTCGGCTGTGGCGATGGTAGTGGATACTGCGGTCGAGCCATGTCGAGCTCAACGAGGTACTTGGGCCCCGGAGAACGGGCCATCGAGGACAAGACGCCCACTCCTTGCCTGCCGCTTGGCAGCTTGCATGTGCTGTGGTTTTTGGAGTGTGGTGAGACAAGGTCAGGCCAAGTATTCAGACCAGATGCAGAAAGAGATCATCGAGGCCGCAGGGAATGAGCATGGACCGCGGGGCTGTCAGCTTGGCAGGCGCATCTGGCAGCTGCGAGTGAGCAGGACGGATGCCTCACCTTTCTGCCTTCGCCTTCCCGCTTCTAGCGCGGCCAGGCTGAGCCGCACATGCTGCTAATGCTGGGAGGGTCCGGCGCCGGAAAAGGTGGCTTCCTGAAGGCTCAAACAATGCTGGGAATGTTGGAAGGCAGACGTGATCATGACAGGCCATGGCGAAGCATGGCATGAACACTCGGAACTTTGTCCTGCACGGTTTGGATGAGTGCGCGCTAGTCCTCCTCGAAATAAGAGGGCATTAGCCACTTGCGATTGTGAGAGGTACATCGAGTATCTGCCAGAGTTTAAGGCCATGCCAAGAGGTGTCTTCCTCAGCTGTGACTGTGTTGACTGCCCTTGGTCAAGGCCTCGAAACAGCACGAACTAGTGGTCTTCAAGGACCTTGCCGAAAGTGGAATTTAAAAGGGCTGTCAGCTCACGGCATACTTGCAATGCAGGATGCTGCGGATGGTTGCTACTCCGGGGTTATCCCGATTGCCAAAGTATCACGGCAGTAGGGTGAGACGTGCCTTTCCGTCCTGCTGCTGCGCGTTGGCTTCGCTATAGCCTAGGCAGCGCAGAATGAAATCGTCAAGCGCAAGCAGCATGTGATCTATGAGGCCTCTGCAGCCATAGCACAGGCACATCACATGCGGCATCACTTGTTCGATGCATTTTGTTGGGCGCCTGCAGGACACAGGAAAAGATCTGGACCGCATACTGAAGCGCATACTTCCGTTATTTCAGAAGGCGAGTACACACTATTTCACATTGCGAGCTCCGGTCTGACTCCGTGATGCTGCTGTGACCAGGCTGGTTACAAGATTGCCGTCGTCCTTGTTGACAATCTCCCTTCAATCGCAAAGGGAAGATCACATGGCCGGTTCCTGAAGGAAGGTCGATATGCCTCTGACGAATACATCGAGGCAGGGGATTTGGAAGACTTTCTTGGAAGAACTCGCTAAAAACCAGCCGCCAAGCGCCAAGCGCCAGTCCACCTTTAAGAACGTGCCCGAGAACTATGCGAAGCTGAAGGAACTCCCAGAGGCGAAGAAAAGAAAAGGCGGCCTTCCTTCTTTTGCCCTTTTTGGGTTTTTTTTCTTCAGGTCACCGAGGCTTACTACTGCGACAACAGCTGCGCAGAGGGCCTCTGCCCAAAGTGCTGGCTCGACAAGGGCACCAGGCCTCCGGCCTCGAGCTGTGAATCTGTGGAACGCGTCACTTCCATGCTGTCCTGCAGGAGCCTGCTTCCTGAAGAAGCCTTGCAGCCGCCAGACTTGCTTAAGTGGACCTGCACAGCCGCATTACGATACCTCGAAAAATACCTCAACATGCATACATGCATGTACACACGTACTTACATACCTACATCAGACGCTGATTCTCCGAGGGCAAATCTCGTTGTCACTGGACCAGATTGGAATTTCGTACGAACTCACTGACTCAGACACGCTCGCTTGAGTTGTGTGTTTAGTGTGTGTAGTTTGACACGTCTGAGTGCTGCAATGATTGACTTGTTCTGTGTTGTTTTTTTCTATGTTTCTTCATTCTTTTACACTTCCTGCGGCATTCTTGTTATAATTCGTTTGTTTTCGCGACTGCTTCGACTCTACTAGTTGACTGTTCTTGCCATCACAAGCATCACTACTGCTGTTGTCAATGTTTCTGCAGCTGGTACTGGTGTCTGTGCTGTTACCTGCTCCTGCTGTTACTGCTGTTGATATTATTCACTGCTTACAACGCTTTCGTAGTTGTCTACTGAATTACTGTATTAGTTACGGCTAATTACGACTGTTGTTGTTCTGGCTACTCTTGTGGCGTTCGTCTTGCACTTCTGCTAGCTGTTAGTCGCCTTGCTAGCAGAACTTCGCGCGCTCTTACAGTTCCTCGGTTCATTGACATTTGTGAGGAATTCGGGCAAGTATGCGCATGATGTACAATGGTCCTGGTTGACCGGTGCCGTGGCTGTCTTTCACCAAGTCCCCTGTTCGGATCCTGAATGACTTGAGTGATCACATGCGGAACGTGATGCTCCAACCGAGCATGTGTAAATGAATGTACGCGTGCATGCACATCTTTGTATAACATTAATACATTAATACACACACACACACTGTCTGGTCTTGTTTGTCCGTGTATCTTGACATCTGTGATTACTTGGAAGGGGCACATGCCTGAAGCCCATGTGGTGTTGGGCTCCGTGTCTTTTGGTTCGCAAAAGCTCTGACTCCCAGGAAAGGCTCGCCGAAGCGACTTCACCCTGCCGCAAGGTAGGGAAAACCCACATCGCAGTCTGGCGATGAGAAAAAGGGAGCCTGGAATACGTTCTTCGAACGTTTGTATACGATTCTTGCAGCATCTGGTTTGGGCAGCGGCACATCGTGCTATCCCTGTCGAAAGCACCACATGAAGAATGCAGGACCTGGCTGTCCGTTGATTGATTTTGCGCGGCACATCTGAACACTTGCCTTTGCAGTTAGTTCATTTTCTAGCGCCACCAGTTGGGACCCGAAGGGTCCTGGAGAGCTTTAGGCATATGTTGAAAACATTCGCTCCTGCATTAGCAGGTCTCAAACTTTACTACCCTCGGCTCACCAGCGAAGCAGGGGACCCTTATGCATCCCACGACTTTGCAGTCGGATGTGAAGGTCCTTTGTGACAGCGGTGTGGCCTCTGCTTGTTTGGGTGCAGAACTGCACACCAGAAGGCGACATTATGTTTCTTGAGGCATTATCTTTCTTGCTGTGCGAAGCATCGGCTGCTCCGAGTGATGCTCTATCCCGCGGGTCAAAAGAGTAGTTCGGCAGCCTTCACATCTTGCCACTCACATGAGTCCTGGAAACCGCTGCAATGATTTTCTCCGTAGCTGCCCAACATCATCAGACGAGTTCTCTTGCAAGGAGGATGCTCGTAACATCAGCTTTGCCGCACCGCAGATTGAGACTCGAGCCACGCCATTTCCCGTACAAGTCGCGGCTATGGGCAGCAGCTGCTGCTGTGGCCGGGAAAAAGTGGACGACAGGTGGGACTTTTGCAAACAACTCTACGTAGAAAGAGGTAGTTGCAGTGCTACCCGTGTCCAAATGCAGAAACAACCGACATGAAGCCGAGATGTCTCTGATGTGCAGACAGCCTGATCCCTTGGCCTGGCAGGTGTTCAAAAAAGAATGTCGCTTACGAGCTAATCGACAGGGCCTATGAGAAAAGATACGGAAGTCAGAGACCGCAGCCCACGACACCCTGGCACAGCCTACCTCCACTCCCCTGGGAGAAGGATGAAGTTATCGCTTTTAAGCTTATGGTGGCCGTCCCTTTTGAAGACGGCCGGGTGCGATGGGTGCCCTTTGATTGAGGGTCGTGAAGGTCCGAGTCTGAGCAGGCCCTGGCAAGTGGACGCGGCGTGGCGAGTGGACACAGCAGGGCAACTGCGGCAACTACACCGACATTGCTAGGTCTGAAGTCCTTGCTCGGCCACCCCGACGTCAGATGTCAGCAATACCATCAACATGCTGACACCTGACATGAGCCCCGAGGAAGATGTCAGCAATACCATCAACATGCTGACACCTGACATGAGCCCCGAGGAAGTGAAGCAAGCTGCTGGGACGAACATCGTGTGATGCGGTTTTGGGCAGGCAGGCGGCTCCTACAGTCGCTGTGGCGCCACAGCTCCGATCCTCACTGCCCGCAATCCTTGGCACTGAACAGCGCCCCAAAGAGCGCCAGCCAAGGCTTCCACAAGAAACTTTTCCAGGTGGCCAGCGGCAACTTGACGCAGGTCTCCACCGCTTGGATTTACACCCCGAGCTTCGCAGGGTCAAGGGCGCTGCCAGGATCCTGCGATTGCTGAGGATCTCTTGTCAGAGTACAAGCGCTGAGGAGTCGGAGCCATCGGTCACCACTCAGCCTTGCATGCCCACGCAGAGCAGATCCACCAGCTGATCCAGTCCAAAATGCGCCAGGAGTGCAGGCATCGAACTCTTCGGACTTGCCCCTCGCCCAGGTCAGCGGCAGCGAAGGGAAGGCGGTCTGGACTTTGGACTGGTGTTCGCAGACCTTCCGTGCCAATGTTTGCGTGCAGAGAAGCTGCATTAGTTTTCCTCCACCAGACGTCGGTGCCGCGGCACAGTTTACCGGAGGAGTGTCCGTGTCCACCTACGTGAAAAGTGCTATGGGTGCGACGAGGAAGCAAGTTGCTCCTTGCATCTCAGCTGACGGAACAGTTAGTATGGCCATTGTTCAAGCTGGGAATCAGGACCTTGGAGTTCAAGATGGACATCGGCGGAGCGATCCAAGACTGTGGTTCGGATATCGATGCCATGGCCACTTTCTCCATCAACAGGTTCAATGCGTGTCTTGCCCTGGACTTCACAAAACAGATTTTACAATTGGTGGTGGGCTACAACTGCTTCAGCGTGGCGAAGCTCAGGTATTTTCCGTTCATTGGCAAGATAACCTTGACAGATACTACCGCACTTGACGGCGCGGACTACTACAGAATGAAGATCGACCTGGATCGTACGCGAGCTGTCGAATGCTGTTACTTGGCAGTGCGAAAACCAGGGCTGCAGCAAATCGAGAAGATTTCAGTACGTCTACCGCCGAGCGCAAGGCTGGTCGCATTCAGACATGTACAAGACGGCCCACCATTGCTGGGAGGCCAGGAAGAAGCAGAAACCCACGTAATCTTAAGCATTTATTTCAGCCCAAAGCCACGTCGACCCTTCTGCTCGATATGCTTCGATCCACGTTGTGGAAAGAGGAGGCGCCTAACTACACTAGCTGCATCAGCAAAGAGGCAGGATCCCAGTCGCCGGGTGACCACGCGGGGAGGTTTGTTTCAGACTACGCCGCCTTCAAGAGTTTCGAGTCTGCGAGAAGGGCGTCCAGGCAGAGTCCTGACTCCGGCGGTTCAACCCGTACAGCCTGAGCTCACTCCGGTCCAAAAGAGTGCTGTGCAAGCTGTGGAGCCTAGCAGTGCCGGCCTGCGGGGCGAAGCAGGGGTAGTATCGGCTGGTGAGGCTAGTGACTACTGGTGACTTGAGATACGTGGGATCATGTGCGCCTGCAGAAAGCCGCATCGCTGCGTTCCGCAGGTTTTCAGCCAGGACTTTTTTCCTCACACGGCCCCCTCCGGCCCTGCAGTCCGTTCGTTGTCGCGGAACTTTCAGGCAGTCGTGCAGCCTTGTTTCCCAACATGCCGAGGGTTGTCGCTTTGGGGGTGGGGGGGAGAAGCTTGATCAGAAATCGAGGTGTTGTAGTACTGTAGCATGCGGAGAGACAGTGAGGGTGCGATCCTGGCAATTGCTGTCGCTTCTGTGCCCGCTTCTTGCCTCGAAGGGGGGCATCAGGCCCAGGTTTTGTCGGGATCTCTTGTCGCATGTGCGAAGTGTTAGCAGTAATGTGGCGTTTTAGGGACCACAACTTTCTTTCCTGTTCGTGTTTTTGTGTGCGATGTCCTCGTTCACTTGTGTGGTGTTGTGTGCTGTGTGCTTGTTTCACGTGTTCCTCTCACATTGCTGTGGCAGGCTGTGGTAAGGATGGAGATTCGTGTTGACACAGCAGAAGGGTGCCTTTCCCAGAAAATCCAAGGTTGTTAGAGCTTTGCAGGGAAAAGCAAGCTGAATCTCTGAGGTATGCCGCCCCGAAAGACACCTTCCTTTCGATGCGGATCGGAGAATTCCAGAAGCAGTCTCGCAAGCTGCTAAGAGCTGCGCACAGGGCCGTATACAAAGAAAGGCAGAAATCAAGACCCCTCTCCTCTGCGATGCTGGGAATGAGGATTCGACACCTCCAAGACGTACAAGTTTCCCAAGCTGGAGGATCCCACTGGTCTCGCACGTATCGAGGCGGGGCGGGAAGCGAGAAAGAAACACAAGTTACAAGTACATCAAAATACGTAGAAAGTAGTGGTCATGTTGGTACTGCAGTGTTTGCTTTGCAGTTTTTACAGCCATGTATCAATCGCACAGCATGTTGATATAGACCGCTTTGCTTGAGACCTCTTGCTCCATTTCTTATGCCCTAAAGCTTTGTAGTCCTTACAGCCCCAAAGCCCTAGACCCCTAGATCCCTAAACCCTAAACCCTAAACCCCAAAGCCCTAAAACCCCTAGATCTTAAGCTCCCAGGCGTTAAACCCCAAAACCCACCAAGCTCCAGGTGTTTCAGCGCGTCGGACACCTGACTGTCAGCCTGGGGAAGCTGCAGCAAGGCGAGCAGAGCGTGGAGGCGCCTTTTGGTATTATTTGCATCTGTATATCTGTACCTGTAAAGGTATGCGCATGTGCTTACGTGTATACATGTATATATAATATAATATAATATA